TTTTAATAGGAAAATGTACGAATTACCCTTCCGAACTATCGCGATAGTTTAGGGGTGGTAATTCCTACATTTCCTTTTTAATATATAACATTATTAAATTTTTTATATATGTTCAATCATTTATCTTATTCAAATTATATTTACAAACTTACAATAGTTCAAATTCTTTTTACAAACGTACAAAAGTAAAAAAAAAACCTTTACTGATCAAATCAAGTCATAGCGTTGAATTATACCATTAAACTATCTTAGGCTCTGTTCGTTGCCCTGGGTTTCTAACCCCTCTCCCTCGTATTCCACGCGCAAGCTTTTCAAACTGCTAAACGGTGTTTTTTTTACAAAATGTTTCTATACGAAAATTGCTTAAAAAATCATATTAATCTATTTTTTAAAAAAATAGCTAATACTTAATTAATCACGCGCTAATGGACCGTTCCGTTTTCCGTGCGTGGGTGATGGGTTCCCAACACCCACCATCGAACACAGCCTTAGCGTTCCATTAAATTGTTCTATCACTCAAGTTATGCTAGCTGACATCACTTAATTTTGTATTCCCATTGGGCAAATCCTGGATCCGTCCCAGGCATACGATAGTGAATTGAGATGTCTTTCCGCCGCACTGACTATCGTTTGAACCTTACTCCCTCCGTCCCAAAAAAAGGCAAACCATAGGTTCTCGTGCCAACGTTTGACTGTCCGTCTTATATGAAATTTTTTTATAGTTAGTATTTTCATTGTTGTTAGATGATAAAACATGATTAATATTTTATGCGTGACTTATCTTTTTAATTTTTTTCATAATTCTTTCAAATAAGACGGATGGTCAAACGTTGAACACAGAAACCAGGGTTTGTCTTTTTTTGGGACGGAGGGAGTAGGTGTGACTGCGCGAGTGATTTGACTAAGCCGAGCATACGATAGTGAATTGAGATGTCTAGTGGCTAGTACTACTCTAATCTCCATGTATATATTCCTTGAAAACTCAAAGTACTTTTTTTAATAGGAAAAATTACGAATTACCCCCCGAACTATCGTGATAGTTCGGGGATAGTTGGGGGGTAATTCGTACTTTTCTTTTTTTAATATTAATATATAACATTGTTAATTTTTTTTACATATGTTCAATCATTTATCTTATTTAAATTCTTTTTACAAACATACAAAAGTTCAAATTCTTTTTACAAACGTACAAAAGTAAAAAAAAACCTTACTGATCAAATCAAGTCATAACAAAATAAATGATGTTTAAATTTTTTAAATACGATGAATGATGAAATATATCAAAAATGTGTCATGTACTAAAAATAAAGTATATTTTAAATAGGATATTATTTTTAAGATCCATTCAAACCAACATTTTCTTAAAAACATGTTCAATATTAAATATATTTAAAAGTAACTTTATACAACGTAGAAGTGTTGACCAAAAATTCGCTCTTGGCTGATAGTATCGGATCTGTGTTGGTGCGAACTAAGTCAACGAACACAACGGTCTGAGAGATCTGCTTAGCTCCAGTGTAGGTTGAAAATATTGATGAGATGCAGATATGCCAGTCAGTTTGATCCTGCAACTGACAAGATATGTAAATAACAGTTCAAAGAGCCGATCGGCTGACAAGCTGATGCAGTAATCCTAGTCGATGCCGATACCAGCCGATGTTTATCGGCTATATATCCAATGTATATTGTAATAATGATATTGTTTGACGGTATTTTGTACACACAAGAGTATCTGGGTAACTGTGTTGGCTTGAAAAGCAAAGCAAGCCAGTTATTCAGAAATTTATATATGGGCGAACCAAGCACGTGCACTTGGTGGCATGTATATATGCACTCGTTCAAGCTCAGCGAATGGCTATAGATGTTTGGCAAACCAACAAGAAGCAGACCTGTGTTCAATTAACTCTGGCCTGCATGCGCGTATTTACGTCCGTATATTTCAGTAATATGGACAAGGACAAGCATATGCACGATTAAGCCTCAATCAATCAGCAGCAAAACAATGAAATAGAAGCAAAACAATTATGTGTGCATATATAGTTCATGCATGCATGGGCAAACCATGCAAACCAAGATGCTATACAGGCTACGGGCTCATCGTGCATGCATGCGCTCGCTAGTGGCGGCCGTATATTGGTGGCGTACGTATACGAATACGTGGACTACTGGGCCTCCATCCATGCTAGGCCCAACCGTGCAGCAATCCAATGGATAGAAATCACGTGAAATATATCCATCCACCAGATGAGTCAAAGAGGCTTTATCTATTGCAGTGAAGATCGCAACAACTCAACGTGGATCGAGTCAGGGCAGCGCCATGGATTCCGCGCTGTTCGTTAGGGCTTCCCCTTACGCCTATATAAGGCCATCGACACCAGCAGCCGGAGGAGGCGGGGGCCGGGGGGCACAGATGCAGAACACAGCGGCAACGAAGAGTAGATCCATCTACCCATGAAGAGAATACACAGAGGCATCGGAAGAGCACACCAACGTGTGCGCCGGCGGCGGCTGCCGGCCGGTGGCAGCCAACATTCGAAGAAGGTTCGGGCAGCCACCCAAGAGACGGCGCCAATCCAGCCGGCACACCGGTGAGAAGGCGCTGCACACTGGCTTCATATGTAGTTTAGGGGATATCTGGTATGGCGGTTGAGATACACGAATTAGAGTAGTAGTAAAAGTGAACTTATTCCTTCATGGCGTGTTTACGGCCCAGTTCCTGGTTCAGTTGCTGAAAACGAGCACAGGCCTGCAGCCCGTTACACCGCCAGCCAAGCCAACAACAATTTTCGAGCTGGGCCTCCACTGCTGCCATGGTCACAGGACGTGCGGTTGCTAGCGGGCACACCTAATGAGCGGGTGATCGCTCGCGTCCGTCCCCCTACTCCCCCTCTCTCTCCCCTCTTTCTCCTCCCCTTCTTCTCTTATTACTATAGTAAACCATTTTTTTTTAAAAAAAAATAAAAAATTAGAAAAATTTATATATAGAAATACTATATATAAAAAATTTGAATTCAAATTCAAATTTGAATCGGGTATGTAAACTTTTGACTTATAAACTTTGGGTCTATAAACTTTAGGTGTATAAACTTTAGATGTATAGAAATACTATATATATAGAAAATATTTGAATTCAAATTCAAATTTGAATTGGGTATGTAAACTTTTGACTTATAAACTTTGGGTCTATAAACTTTAGATGTATAGAAATACTATATATATAGAAAATATTTGAATTCAAATTCAAATTTGAATCGGGTATGTAAACTTTTTACTTATAAACTTTGGATCTTTAAACTTTAGGTGTATAAACTTTAGATGTATAGAAATACTATATATATAAAATATTTGAATTCAAATTCAAATTTGAATCGGATATAATTCAAATTCAAACTTGAAGCGGGTATATAAACTTTTGACTTATAAACTTTAGGTCTATAAACTTTAGATGTATAGAAATACTATATATAAAAAATATTCGAATTCAAATTCAAATTTGAATCGGATATATAAACTTTTGACTTATAAACTTTTGGTCTCTAAAGTGAACTTTAGATGTGTAAACTTGAGGTGTATAAACTTTAGATGCATAAATTTACTAAAATAGAAAAATAATGTGGTACCAAAAAAAACCAGGTGGAGGGAGGGAGGGGGCACCCGATGGCTACCCCATTGGCTAGGCGATCGCCCATTAGAGGTTTCGGTTGCTAGCTGGCTAGCTCGGCCAACCAGCGTCAACACCGGGATCGGCCGGCCGCGTGTCTGACGGAAATGGCAAATTCAAAGTTTAAGCAGATTAAAATCAGCAACTATAGATAGCTAGAAGGAGCATGAACGCATGATTCATGCACAGCTGCTCGGTGCTTCAACTATACCTGACCTCACGAGTCACACCTGCACAGTACGTGCTACACCAACTGCTACTCAACGATCAGCATGTTCTATCCTTCTATCAGCATGACACATCTATCTCGACGATCTCGTAGACCAACTCATACGGAGATCACGCTTAAATGCTAAGCAATGTCGTCGCAGCTGCAGCTGGACACGGCTAGGCGACCAAGCACAAGCAGCAAATTAACAAGCGTTTCAACAAGCTGGAGATCATGAGGAGTCCGGAGCAGATGGCCGGCCACGCTGTGGCGCCGCGGCGAGACGCTGCGTTCCGCGCGACGACGCGGCGGACTGTGACGATTCTGCACGGAAGCTGCAGGGTGAGGAGGAGGAAGATGGCGGTGGTGCGGCTCGGCGACGGCAGCAGGAGGCCGCGGCGGTTTATGGGGGCGCTCCGGAGGCTGCGGCTGCGGTGGGTGGTGGCGGCGATGTACAGGCGGGCGCTGCGGCGGCTGCGCGCGTGCTACGCCAAGGCCATCAGGGACGTCCTCGAGGGCGCCGCGCTCGTCGGCGCCGTGCGCGCGGACGCCGGGGTTTGAATAGTGTTGCACTTTCATACATCTTCTTTAATTTGCATCAACCCTCCTGCATTAATCCTGCATGCATTCTGCGTGTCGAAAGAATGATTCTGTCTGTGCATGGCAAACGTGAACAAATTAAGCAAACAAATTTGACAACAATTAGGTTTACAACACACAAGTACAATAATTTGACAATAATCCTACTTTATTTATTAATGCATTCCTGCTGATACAGGAAGTACAATAATTAGGTTTACACTTTACAACACACAAGTACACAACCCAACCATCTGAAAAGATGGCCTTAATTACGTACTTTGACATAGGAAACGATGTCGCATACTCGCACGTCAATTTACTGCCAGATGACGGCGACGGGGCTCCTCACGGTGTGCTGGCCATCGCTCCAGAAGATCGATCCCCACCTGTACGTGTTCGGGCCGGCCGCCGATGCCGACATGGTGATCGAGTAGTTCAGTGTCTTGCGCTGCGCGGTGAACGCGAGCCTCATCGGCGACATGATCGCGGTGCCGGGTGGGGAGGCGATGTTCACGCTGTACACGGCGTCGGTGTTCGTCCCGACGTTGGTCACGCTGCGGCGCTGCGTGAGCCGGCCACCGAAATAAACTCGAACGAGAATGCCGGGTAGTTGAGGTCGCGCACGCGCCTCTGCGGCCGGGCCGAGTAGTCGGTCACCGAGCCGTCGTTCGTGAAGAGCGAGATCTGCCTGCGCGTGTAGCCGAGGCTGCAGAGGAAGGTGATGTAGTCGTCGGCGGTGGCGTCGTACACAAGGCCAGGGTCGAGAGCGCGGTTAATTGGGGTCGACATGGCCGGAGCCGAGCTCGAACGGCCCGGCCGGTTGGCCCGTGGACATGAACTTGATGGGTGTTGCCACCGTTGTCCACGTTGTAGGCTGTCGTCATCAGGGCCGACTTGATCGCCGCCGGGCTCCAGCTTGGTCGTGCCACCTTGAGCATGGCGGCGACGCCACGCCATGGACGTGCCATAGATGATGCTAAACTCGACGCGCCTGTCGTCGACTCTGATGGAGCTTGGCGGGTTTTCTCCCGACCATGCCGCGAGGATGTCGACACCGGGTGCTATCATATCCGGCTTGAGGATCTCAGCCGCGATGCGGTTTGGCCCACGGCTCGAGAAGGAAGCGACCCTCGGAGCAGATGGCGATTGGCTGATCATGGATTCATGGTGCCACGGAACTCGATTCTTGCAACCGGTCTCGTCGTCGACCGCAGGTAGGAATAGATCTCTCTGGCGTCAGTGTAAGAGACCGTCACTCCTGGGTGGATGTCAGCAAAGGGTTGGCAAGAATTCACCATAGACATCTCTACTTGAAATGATGGTACCAACGCCACCGGCTAAATTGACAGTGGCTTCTTGTGCGGGGGGAGTGGTAATATTTCTGCCATACTCACAGAGAACAATGTTACCTAAGCCTATGATGTCGCTGAGCTTAGAGTACTCGCACACATCAGAGCCAGCATCACCGCCATATACAAGTCGTGTCAATGAACCAGCCGTGTTATTGCCAGAATAGAGGGAAGTGCCAACATAGGTTCGGCCATTGCCAAGGACAACGTGTGCCGTGAACCGACGGTTTATAGTCGATGCTCCAACTGTCATCACCCATTTATAATACTACTAATTAGTTTCATCAAATTAATAATTGAATATATTTTCATAATAAATTTTTCTTGGGTTAAAAATGTTACTATATTTTTCTACAAACTTAGTCAAACTTAAAACAGTTTGACTTTGACTAAATTTAAAACGTCTTATAACCTAAAACGGAAAACGGAAGAAGTATATCGGTTTCAATTTTAGAAACCTACGACAAAGGTTTAAGGAGAAGAAGGACGTACTATATGCAGATCATGCATATTTTTGCCAACAACAAATGGAATAGGTTGTCCTCTCAGTATCTGTATATACACTTGCGTTACAAATAGTTCTATTATCTTCCAACAAACGGGAAAGTAATTTCATTCCTCGAGGGGATGTCTCTCGTTTCGTGCATGCCACCTAAATAGACATAAAAAAATTTAAAAAAATTAGCAATATAGATTGATATGAAATATATCACTCCACAAATATGTAAGTTTAAATTCAACTTCTACAAATTGTAACAAAAATAACAAATATCGCTGCGAATGTACGATAATTATGTTCAGCTTAATTTGTTGTTTTTGTTGCAACTTATAGAAGTTGAATTTAGTCATGCATGTTTGTGTAGTGATATATTTCATATTAATCTATGTTCTCAATTTTTTTTCAAATTTTTTTATAACTATTTAGATGACATGCAAATAACGATGGGATGTCCCCTTAACGAGTGGATTCTAATCCCTCGAGTGGATACCCCTCGTATACCTTTTTCTTCCAAATTCGATGCAAATAGTTGTGAAAAATTCTGAAAAAAATTGACAATATAGAGTATAATGATACCTACTAGTCCACCAAAATTCATGTTCAAATTCGATCTACACATCGAGAAATAAAAAAGACAAATTTAGATATAAACAGTACACTACTATTCATACACTGAATCTGTCTTTTTTATATCTCGACGTGTGAGTCGAGTTTGGACTTAAGATTTTGTGAAGTTGTATATATGTGTTGTATGAATGTTGTCAATTTTTTCCAGAATTTTTCATAACTGTTTAGATGGTTTTTGAGCAAACGAGAAAACATCCCCTCGAGGGATTAGAATAGTTTCCTGGATACTTCTGGGCGTTACTAGGAAGCCTGATCATGTTGCCCATCCCAAACCCGGCACGTCGAACCCCAACCACAGTTTGGGCCGTACTCCTCGGCCCGCGTGGAACTCTCCAACTTGGCACCACCGCACTTGACGTGGGGCTGTTTGGTTGGTGGCCTCAGTTTGCCACACCAAATCTTAGGCGTGCCACAATTTTCTAGGCTAGTGTTTGGTTGCGTGCCGCAGTTGAGTCAAGCCACACTTCATTAGCACATTGGCCCACGCGTCATACTCTCATTTACTAGCCAAAGTTTGCCATAGTTGTGGCTGTGTGGCTTGCCACAGTTATGGCAAATGGAGTTATGGCAAAGTTAGCCTCCATCCAAACAGCCCCGAGTGTTCGGTGGTGGTGTCTTGCCCTTGGCGATGAACATGGCGACGCGATCCATGAGCACGCCGGTCTCGGCGTGGGAGCTGAACTCCGGCAAGAGGTGGAAGCAGTGGTCCACGCCCTTGGACTCCACGAGCGTCGCCGCCCTGTGGCTGCCACTGTCACCCCACGCGGCGGCGTATCGGCGGCCGCGGCCGCGCAGGACGTCCTCCGTGGCCACGGACACCAGCGCGCGGCGGCACGGCAGCGACGCTATCGCCTCGGCGGAAGGGTCGATCCGGGGATCGTCGCCGTTGTTGGCCGCCGCGCCCGCCGTCACGTACGGCCAGAGGGCGTCGATCCTCTCCGGCAGCAGCATCGGCGGCGACCCGCGCGTGCGCCAGCAGGCGTCCGGCGTCTCGCACGGCAGCCGCTTGGTGCCCCAGAAGTATGGCTGCAGCAGTATCATGCCCTCGATGTCGATGTCGTCGTCGAACACCTCGCCGGCACGTACCGCCACGTTGTGCACGATGTTGGCGCCGACGCTCTCTCCGGCGAGGAACACGCACGAGCGGTCGGCGTAGTCGCCGACCCAGGTGTCGTCGGAGAGGCGGCGGCGGCGGGAAGCCGCCCACCGGAGCGCCGCCCACGCGTCGTCGTAAGCCGCGGGTACGGGGTGCGCCGGCGCGAGGCGGTAATCCACGGACACGACGACCGCCGCGGCGCGAGCGGAGAGCGACTCGGCGTAGTCGTGGAACATCCTGGCGGAGGCGCTCCCCGTGCAGAAGGCGCCGCCGTGGACGTAGACGACCAGGGGGAGCCTCCTCCCGTCGCCCGCGGCGGCGGCCACGGCCGCGTCGACGGGGAGGAACACGCGGACGGACACGCCGGTCTCGTCGTCGATGACGACGTCCTTCGTCACGACCCCGTTCGCGCTCCTCGTCTTGTCGTCGGACGCTGCCACGGTCTCGTGGCGCACCAAGACCCACCTGCGGCCGTCGTTGAACTCGACAAGGAACGGCCGGAGATCGACGGCGATGTTGCCGCGCGCCGGCGCCGGCGACGGCGAGCTCTTGCTTGTTCTCATGCTGCAACTGCTGGCTCGCTCTTGCACGACGATGGCTTGCATGGAATGCAAATTAAGCGGGGTTCTTATAGAGAGAGAGGTGCCGTGTTGGTGAAGTTCTCTAAACCCCTCGTGCCATTCCAAACCTAAGACACTAAACATAGTTTCCATAAACTCTAAATTATAAAAAAAACTAGTACTAAGATACTACTATTTCAATACAAACACAACTATTTCATACTTAAATTTAATAATACTTATCTCACATGATGTCTTGAATGTTGTGTAGAAACCATGTCTCATGCAAGACATAGTTTGCTTATCTTTTCTTATTTATATTCATTTGACACATCATTTTTTATTCTATATAACAACTTATCCTATCTTACTCTAAAGTTATCCCCCACTAACTTCTTAAGCTTAACTTGCAAAGATGCCACAACATCATCCACTAATTAACAAGATGTCACATCATCATCCACTAACAATCATCACATTTAAACATCATGCAAACATGCTATATCTTTATAGTTTTTATAATTTAAGAGCTTTTCAAATACAAACATGTTAAGTTATCATCCAATATAATTCACATAATATTTCAATGTAATGTATGTTTTATGATATCCTATATATTTATATAGTTCATCCTCACTTAGTTAGTGCTTAAATGATTAATCTATGGTCTAAATTATCTTTTTTCTTTTTCCCTCTAATTAAGTCATATCACATCAATTGTTTTTACCCTTTAGATGATTAATCTACGGTCCAAACTATCTCCCTACTTTTCTTTTTCCATAAAGTCATACCACCTTATATTTTACGTTTGAACCACCATTCTACATACTATTTAAATTAAAATTATCATAAACCACATTAATTTACTTAATCTGATGTTATCTAGCTATCTTACACGTTATTTTTTTATTGTTATCATACTAAATTCCCGCAGCAATGCGCGGGGTTTCACCTAGTTTAATGCATGGACACCATCCTAGTCATTGGGTTGGGAATGACCTCATAATTAATTTTTTAGAGACCTTAATTAATTGATTAATTCTCATAACACAACTAACTGATCGATCGATGCGCGTTCCCATTTCTCTCGATCTTGCAAGGATACGCGTTCCATTTGAAAAGACATATAAACATTCCTAGAAGGGAATATATAGATTCGCAGGAAGCCAGGAACAAATTTCTCATGAATTAATATAAAATTGTTGTTGATGAACTTATCTGGGAAAGGAACTGAAGGTGATTTATATATAAGCATTAAATGTTATGAAGTTTTTGCATAGGAAAAACAAAGAGGAGAGATGCCATACGTATTCAAAAACCAATACTGATCCACGTTTCCATGCTTAAAAAACATGTAGGCTTGATACCTTTCACATTCTCATGCACCAATATTGTTAGAGATAATCCATGAAATGCCATTGACAAGCATCTAAGTTCTAAAAATGCCATTGACAAGTGTGAGTTTCAAGAAATGCCATCGTATAAATGATTTTGTCTCAAAAATGCCATCGCTGTTAGGGTTCGTGCCGTTAAATACATTGTTCATCCTATAGGACTTAACGGCACGGAATGGACGGAACCCTAACGGCGATAACATTTTTAGGACAAAATCATTTGTACGATGGTATTTCTTGAAACTCATACTTGTCGATGGTATTTTTGGGACTTAGACGCTCGTCAAAAGCATTTCATAGATTATCTCATGTTGTTATGGCCGGTACATTTTCGTAGAAGGGCAGTTTGCTGGAGCAACCTTATCTCATGAATTAATTAATTCAAGCCATATAAAATAAAATCATTATCTATGAACCCACCGGGAGAAGGAGAGAGAACCTGGGACTGGGAGGAATGCGCGCGTGTTTGCTGAAGCGATGCCTATCGATATTGTATTATCAAGTTTTGCATCTGCAAAAAAAAGGAGGATAGGAGGACAGGGAAATCCAATTCACTGCTACAAAACCATTCTTGCAGATAACCCATCATTTTTACGAACAGGCTAAATGAAGATCTGCTTTAAAAAATACATAAGACTCCTCCGGTTAAGGTTGTCTTAAGGCTGCGTTCGGGAGGAGGGATCCCCGGCATGTAAAACGGAGCACGCATTATTACATGATTAATTAAGTATTAGCTATTTTAAAAAAAAATGGATTAATTTGATTTTTTTAAGCAACTTTCGTATAGAAACTTTTTGCAAAAAACGCACCGTTTAGCAGTTTGAAAAGTGTGCGGGCGAAAAACGAAGGAGATGGATTGGGAACTTGAAGAAAAGAACACAGCCTTAGTAGATTTGCTCATAAAAATAGACCTATTTTTTTCAGTTGGTGGTTTTGAGTCAATCCAGTCACACGAGTCCACCACGCACCGACAAGCTATTTTAAAATCAAAGGATGCTACCCTACCTCCGCTCATTTGTTCTTTTTCTCCTTTGCTCTCAACTCAATCTCTTCGTTCTTTTTATCAGTCTGATCCGTCGCCTTAATAAACATCTAAAGTATGTTTTTATTATACATTTATTGCTAAATTTATAGTTTTATGCTATATTTAGACTTAAACATGTTTTCTTTTGATAAATTTGATTGTACATGTTAGTATAAGATACCAATGTTTGGCAATGAGATAAACCCTTTTAATTAAATTTTAATTTATATTATGTATAATTTCACCATATCCGTGAAGTGATACCAATTTATTATATAAACCTGTTGTTGGTTTACATTTTTTAAATGATTTCTACCCTTTTTAAATGTGGATTTGAGCTTACATGCAAATCCAATTTTGTAAGGTTTCCAATGAACTAGCGGGGTGGCTCATACACATTGCGTGCAGTCTACTAGCATATATCATCGCATAGTTTTTCATATAATAGTGGTTATACTTTAGTGTTTGAAAAAAAGGTAGAAAGACTTTCGTATTTAATTGTGAAAGAAAAAAAATGAAAATGATAATAATTTTGAACTCTGACACGTCTGCTCCAGTGTGATCAAACGGTTTACATCTATATTCTGGTTAATTAGCATGGTAATTTCTGTGTCCATAAAGCAAACACAAACAATAGCTCAAAGATATAAAAATCTAAGGTATTTTGTTTCTCTCATTCCAACACTTTCAGACTAATATTGGAATTTTTTTTCACCATCTCTTGGGACATTCTTTCACCACCAAAGATGGGATTGTATATTCATGATAGTTCTCGTTCCAAATAATTAAGAAACATCTCTCGCTATCAACACTAACTTTTAAGATTACAAATACTCATCTTCATCTTTATTATTAGTTTAATTAGTTTAGGAAAGCTTCCAATATACATATAATTTTACTATTCCAAATTTCAGATATTTAATTGCTTGTACTCTGATATTTTACATGGACAATTACTGTATTTTTTTCAATTTCGAATTTTAGTGAAAACTTTATGTTACTTTTGGGATTTGTATTGTAATCAAATTGCTTATTTTATTAACTTTTTATTTGGAATTTTAATTAATCCATGTTGTTCGGTCGCTGTCCATGCCCCGATGAGTTGTTGTCCAGGTACGTATAGACGTTCGTAAGGCCACGGCATGAATTAACTACTAGCTATAGCCTATAGGGTTGTTCAATTATTGCAGTTGCTCTGTTACTAACAAATCTAAGCCGTCTGTTGTTTCAGGGTAGCATATATTGGCTACGCAGATCAACTTCCTTTTGGATAATAATCGAAAGGTTTTCCAGTCTATGCCATAGACAGCAACCATGCACGAAATTGTGCCTTTTGGCCATCATCAAGGGGGTTTAATTTTTTATTCAACGCTGCTATACATCCGACGGACGTGTACGACCAGCGTACGACTCAACGGCGAAATACACGGCGTAAACCCAATTGAATTAGCGATCGTTGCAGAAGTTACGGACGGCGGATGGCCAATGACGTAGTCGTACGCTGTTTGTACGCGTCGGTCGGACGTATAGCATTTTCGTGTTTTTTATTCCCTGTAGACTGCTTTTAGGTGGTGGGCTGACACATCATCCAAGCCCTATATATTCTGAAACCAAAATCTTCGAGCTATTGTAGATTATGTTGTTCTTATCTCATTGTCTGCCCAATTGGGTACAACTGATTGGATTCTTTCTTTGAAAAAAATGGAGCCAGGAGCTGTTTTTCCTCGTCCTCCTTAGAAACAACAAGGCCAGATGAATTTTGTGGCCGATAGTACTCGCATAGAAATTACATTTTGAAATTTGCAACGATTTCCACATTCATTATTACCGATCTAGATATGAATATTCCGTAGTAATTTTAGTACAAGTTTGAAATTCAAGTTTAAGCAAAAGTTATAGTGTGCTTGTGCAAGCAATATGATCCGTAGATATTACTATCGTGTGGTGTCAACCAAGCTATCGTCGCCATGATCAGGGATTCATGATGAAATTTGCATATTCAAAGGGAAACCTTATGTTTAAGGTAAGGGCAAGAGCTATACTGATCAATTAAGAAGGATGTAGAGTATGATAAAAGGCAGACCGTAAAAAGGGCAACTTAATTTTGGGGTTGAAGGTTTCGGCAGTCCAATATTTAATTATGACCAAGAATGTAATATTCTGAAACGCCTGAGTCGGGCGTGTTTATGTGTCTGATCCTTCCCCATTGATTCTTCATTGATGTGACTGCTATTAACACTTGTCAACATCTCACTCAAGCAAGCGTAATGTTTATATATAATATATATATTCACTCATGCGTAGGTTTTCAACCAAACAATAAAACATAGACATGCCTGGTCAGGCACAATGAAACACCAGCTTTTCTATTACACATGCATAGATTGTCAGTCAGGTCACCTACCAAACAAGCCCGTTAGCCCGTTGTCTGTCTGACACGTAAAATCAAACAAATTTCTTGGTTCGAACCAAAGACATAGAAAATGCATGTTTACTGACCCACTACATAAATCCATGTGTAATGGAGTCATGCTGGGGAACTCATAATTTCGGTTTGCAACCTCATTTAGTTCTGGGTTACATACCGGAACACCCAATCCAGTACTAAAGATGCTCATCTTTAGTCCTGATTGAAATAACCAAGAATAAAAATGGTAACAACAACCGGGACTAAAGATGGTAGCGCCTTGTGTTACCAACTGGGACTAAATGAGTTTATTTTCTTTGTTTTTTACCTCTTGCATATTGATTTTCCCAAATCAAGTTGCTCCCTACATCCCCCAATCACATATAAGATAACATCGTAGATCAAATACATCATAAATTCTAAAAAAAATACATCACAAATATATCACAGATAACATCATAGATTCACATCACAGATCAAACACATCACAAATTCTAAAAAAAAAAAATCCTCCGCCTACCGCACGGCTGCGCCGACGCCGTCGAGCCACCGTAGCTCCACCGCTGCGTGGCCTCTCCTCTCGCTGGATCTAACGGAGGGGAGGGCGAGGCCGCCGCCGCCGCTTCCGCCGCCCGGCTGCCATTGCCGCTTCTCGAGAAAGCGAGCAAGACAGAGAGAGGCAGCAGACAGAGAGAGCAAGCGAGCGTGGGAGAGAGATAATAAATAAAAGGTCGTGTGGGCAGATCGAGAGAGACGAGGCAAGAGAGGATAAGAAAGTGGGAGAGAGAAATTTAGTCTCGGTTGGTGATATCAACTGGATCTTTAGTCCCGGTTGGTGATACCAACTAGGAGTAAAGATCGTTTGGGGCCTGACACGGCCTAACAGCTATTGAACCGGGACTAAAAATGATGACTAAAGATCATAAAGTACCATTGGACTTTTGAACTGGGGCTAAAGATATTCTTTAGTCCCTGTTCCTATTTGAAAAGGCACTAATGTGATTTTTGTCATTCGGGCAAAGATCACTTCTCCTGATCGGTGATGTTGGCCCATGGGTCCCACCATCATATATTATTAAACTTAAACGTGGCCGTACATCAAATAAATCGATTGACGTTGGATATGCTCCATTGTACTATTGGGGGATGGGCTCTGAAGGACCCTCTGGGTCCATCGGCTCACCCAAACGGGCATTTATCATGCTCACTTTCTCTTTGTCAGAGGGGTTCCACCCCACCCCCGAAGGGATGTGGAGCCTTCAGGCCACCCCTAACCAAGCCAGGACCGTCTACCTCGTCTTTAGAGGAGCAAGTGGATCTGGACCCGGGGCTGTGGCCTTGGAGAGGTAGAGATAGGAAGATGAATGGGAGCATTGAATTTTCCCACCTATGTGGTCAAACTCTGGTTGCCCGCATTGCTTGCTGTAGTCGAGGCCGGTAATCTCAGTCTTATTATGGATGGTCCAGACCCAAGATTCCCAGGATTACTGTCGGCTTGCGAGCCGGCATGGGCTGCTCGGCGGCCCTCCAAGAAATCCCTCTATAGTACCCCTCTAGAGGGGCCCACCGGTCAGCCAGTAGGCCTAGAAATGCCTATATGCTGCCCATAGCCATAGGGCTATGGTTGTAATCTTCCATGTACTTAGCCCTCTATAAAATACAGTAACCGCCATGTTGAGGAAGGGGCAGATATTTGATTCTTTGGCAGACATATCTGTTGGACTTTGTTCCAATAGGTACTTTCATGACTCACGTACATCTAACCTTGCACAATCGTCCTTATCTCTTCATGCATTGACAAATTTGAGGACAATTTACTTCAGATTTATTTATTAATGCATACGTGCTGATTATACAGTAGCAGCCAAGCAGCAAGTGCTAGCGGTAGCAGGAACAACGATGACAACGCGTTTTTCCCGGGTTCATCCATACAGTACTACGTATGTTACGTTTACATCATGGCACCATCTGAGATGATGGCCTTCAATTACTATAAACGTACGATACAATGTCACAAGTGGTGATTTATTTCCAGGTGGCCACGACGGGGCTCCTCACCATGTGCTGGCCATCGCTCCAGACGATATCTCCCCACGCGTTGTATGGCGAGTTGCTTGACCCTGCCGACAAGGTGATCGCATAGTCAAGCGTCTTGCGCTGCGCGTTGAACGTGAGCCTCATTGGTGCCACCGTGAGCCTAGTGCCAGGCGGCGCGGTGATGGTCACGTCGTACACGGCGTTGGTGTTCGCCCCGACGTTGGTCACGGTGCGGCGTTGCGTTACCTGACCACCGGACCTCGCAAACACCATGGAGAATGCCGGGTAGTTCAGGTCCCCGATGGGCGGCCGACGTGAGCAGTAGGTCGTCGTGCTGTCCCTTGTGAAAATCGCTATCTGGTTTGGTGTGTAGCCAAGGCCGCAGAGGAAGGCGATGTAGTCGTCGGTGGTGGCGTTGTACACAAGGCCAGGGTCGAGAGCGTTGTTGGGGTCAACGTGACCAGAACCGAGCTCAAATGGCCCAGCCGCCCGCCCATTCACTGACGACATGATGGCGTTGCCGCCGTTGTCCACCTCATAAGCCGTGGTCATCATGGCCGATTTGATCGCCGTAGGGCTCCAGTCTGGTCGTGCCACCTTGAGCATAGCAGCGATGCCGCTCACGTGAGGGCACGCCATGGACGTGCCAGAGATGATGTTGAACTCGACACGCCTCGTGTCGATGCTGAGGGAGCTTGGCGAGTTTTCTCCTGTCCATGCGGCGAGGATGTCGACGCCAGGGGCGATTATGTCCGGCTTGAGTATCTCAGCCACAAAGCGGTTAGGTCCACGGCTCGAGAAGGCCGCGACCCTCGGAGCATATGGTGATTGGCTGATCATGGTGCCGCGAAATTCAATTCTTGCAACCGGGTTCGCCGCCGATTGCGTGTACGAATAGATTGCATTGGCGTCAGCGAAAGTCACTGTTGATGCCGGGATCAAGTCGGGTGAACTCAGGAAGAACTGACCATAGACATTTCTACTTGGAACGATGGCACCAACACCACCGGCTTGTTGGACAGCAGCTTCTTGTGCGGGGGCATAGCCGATCTCGCAAAGAACTATCTTGCCAATGACTATGTTGCGAGAGAGCTTCCCAGGTTCACACAATCTAGAGCCAGCATCACCACTGTATACTAGTGGTATCAAAGAAGCAGCTATGTTCCGACCTGAGTAGAGGGAGGTGCCGACATAAGTTTCGCCATTTCCGAGGATAATGTTTGCTGGGAACCGACGGTTTATGCTTGACGCACCAACCGTGACCATCCATGGTGCAAGGTTATTAGCAGTAGACATGTCAGGGCCGTCGTTCCCGGCGGCAGCAGAGACAAATATGCCTCTGCGGATGGCATTGAATGCACCAACGGACGTGGGTTCATTGTAGAGTTGTTCACTCCGACCACCCAGGGAAAGAGATATGACATTTACTCTATCTGCAATCGCCTCATCCATGCCCGCGAGGATGTCAGAATCATAACATCCTTTTGCCCAGCACACCTTGTAGATGGCAATATGCGCACGCACAGCCATGCCTTGGGCGGTGCCATTGGCATAGCCAAATAGGTTGGCGCCAGGGACCGCAGATCCTGCGGCAGTAGAAGCGGTGTGCGTGCCATGGCCTTCGGTGTCAAGTGGTGACTTTGACTCTTGCGTCTCATCGATGGGGTGGCCTAATGCAGCCTCGTACCCTCTACAGAAATACTTTGCACCGACGAGCTTGTTGTTGCAGTAGGCAGTCGCGTTGAAGGAAGGGGTTGAGATGCAGTGGCCACGGAAGGTGCTCGGCGGCGGAGGCAGTGATGGGTCAACGGTAAAGGACCTACGGTTCTTAGGATAAACACCAGTGTCTACCACTGCGATCACTGCACCAGTGCCACCATCGTTCGATGCCTGTACGAGGCCGTTGGACGGTGAGAGGCCGAGGAAGGAGGGAGACAGAGTGGTCTGCAACTCATTGCGCTTGTCGGGGAAGATGGCAAGGATGCTGGGATGGTGCACGATGTGTGTAGCCTGGTGCTTCGCTAGCTTCGCGGCAAAGCCTGTGGCCGCGTGGGAGTATGCATAGACAAGGCGTGGTGTTGGCTCGCTTAAGTGAGAAGGGAGGATCCCTTGGAGAAAGGAGGTGTAGTGTGCAATGGCGTGCTGGTCCATGCATTGCGAGGCATGAGTTGGAGGTGTCGCATGCACATGTGCAACATGTATGATGTAGGTGGATACATCATCTGTTGCATGCTCAACACCTACTGATGTTGCTAACACTAAGGCATGTAGCAAGCTAAAGACGACCAAGAGTGTCTTGCCCAGCCCCATGGAGACAAATGAGATGTCCGGATGGACCATAGAAATTTGTTTGAGATGCATGGTGTGTGTTGTGAATTGGTGAATCTTATGATAAAGGCATCAAGGGGTATATATACAAGCAAAATAGTACTATTCTAGCTACATAATGACTTTGAGAACACTTCATAGATAGATTAGATGGACTTTCATCTGTTTGTATTTTGTACTTCCTAACGAGGGAGGGAAAATTTTCAAACTTTGCATGTGCACTCTCCGTAATATAGATACTTGATCATTTTAGGTGGAAAAGTTTTTCAAAATTTTGCCTTTTGTTAGAGTCTTTAACCTATGATTCACACAGTCAATTGAATTTTTAGTCATCAACATATTGATAAGAATAAAATTAATCATATGAGTGAATGAATACTTAGCTATCAGTGGCGTAGCCAGGAATTTTTCCTTGGGTAGTCCTAGTTCACACATTCATGTCACATGGTAAAATTTTATTGCACCATAAAACTGATATACAAATACAAATTTAGTGAAAATACTATAGAAATAATGTCTTCCAAGATCCATAAGCGGCTTACTTAACAAGCAAGTTCAAAATGTGCAAATATTACAACATAGAGAGTTCAACAATCAACATAGATCTTACACATAAATAAAAAATTAAAAAGCCACTAATATAACAAATTATAAATCCTACAAACAATAGCAATTAGCATTTAGCACACATTCATTAATCTAACAATTTATAAATTGCATTCTCACTTTCTTAGTTATTCACACTTCACAGACTCATTAATTCTCTAATCACAATTCACAAATCTAGCCATTTAGGCAGCTATTTCTTACCAGGGCTGAGCCACGGAGGGGAGGGGACGGCGGCATGGCGCAGCGTCGGTGACTCGGCGCGGACGGCGGTGGCGGCGCCGGCGCGGACAGCAGGGAGCCGGCCAGCTGAGGACGGCACCGGGCGCCGGCGCGGAGTCGAGGTCTCGAGGAGGCTGGCGGCTAGCGGCGTCGGGCTCAGGGTCTCGGGCGAACTGGCGCTGCTGGGCGCTGGCTGGTGGCTGAGACGCTGAGGGAGGGGAATCCTCCAACCCTAGATGTTTCTGGGCTATTTGGGCCTAAATTTTTTTTTTGGGGGGGGGGGTGGGGGTCTCTGGGCCAGATTTTGGGGTAGTCCCGAGCCCACAGGGACTACCCCTAGCTACGCCCCTGACTTAGCTTTAATATTTTATTTGGATTAAATTTTAAGATATTATGAATGCAATTTGTCTATGAATTGAAGCATGGCACAATGAGTCTTAAAAAAGTAATTAGTCAAACTTGATATTTATAGAGGGAATTGCTAGTTTTCATGTGACTGAGATTTCTCTCAATCTCCGTCACCTCATCCATTTCCATTGGATTTCAATCCAATGGCCAGGGAACCAAGTTCCGGATGAGGAGGAGAAGGGAGAGAAAAGGGGTAACTCATCAATGATAGCGACAACGTTAACGATTTCGTGTTAGTGTGGGGCAGGGTTTAGAGTTTGGAGTAGGAGTTACGGGAGGAAGGGTTGGAAGAGCGGAGAGAGACCGGCTGGAGGGACGGTTTCCCATGACACGGTAAGCGACGAGGTAGCATCGGCGTTGTTGGTTTAGAGGAGGGAGCGGGAAGAGCCCAATTTGGCAAACCTTGCCAGCACTTGGTGGCGCCCAAAAATGCTAATGTGCATTGATCACGCAATCAGTTTCTATACGTACGGAATATGCATAAAAAAAGTGTATATATATATATACAAATTTTCATATGTATACATATAAATTTTGTTTGTATACATACAAACTTTGTAGTATACATATAAAGTTTTGTACGTGTATGTATATTTTTCATGTAATTTATATGCCACGCATAAAATTTTTACACACAATATTTTTAGATAAATATACAGATTTTATACGTATATACTTTGCATACATTCGTGCATGCAAAATTTATACATATGTATACAAAATATATACATATGAATATATACCTATAAGACCAACCGACCGTGCGGCTGCGCACGCACGGCTGGTCACATATCAGCGGCATTCGGTGGCGCAGCGCCAATGAGGTCGGGAGGGGGGATGAGGTGGGAGAGGCAACGTCGCGTGAGGAAACGAGCAGTCAAGCTCGCATGCATTGCAGGGTGGAAGGGGAAACAGATCAGGTAAAATATCCATGATGCATGAATCTTGACACGATATGAGCCATTCAAAAGTCACTGAAATCTCTTTGGTATTTTCGAGTGAGACCAGACACCCCGTTATAGTAAATCATTGTATGGCTGAAATAAATCTAAATATTACTTCATATTTTATATTTAATTTGGTCATGACCAAAAACTGAACTATATATATGACCAAATTAAATTCTATAAAGTTCCAAAAACAATTAAATACTCCTATAGAATTAATACTTCCAATCAAATAGTTCAGTCACTGGTAGAGAAATCATCTTTGGTCGGTCGACCCAAATCCACAATAGTCTCGGTTCCATTAAAAACCGGGACTAAAAATGATTTTTAGTCCCGGTTAATAAGAGGAAGATCTTTAGTCCCGGTTGTTGTTACCAACCGGGACTAAAAATCATCTTTAGTCCCGGTTGGAAACTTTAGTCCCGGTTGATTCCATGTCAGGCTGTGTTAGGGCCCTATGATCTTTAGGTTTTTAGTCCCGGTTGGTGTTACTAACCGGGAATAAAAATCAAAACACACTATATAATCTATAGTACCGATCCTCTTTTCCCGTCCACACAACAAACTCCTCCCTCTATCTCTTTTTTAACTCTAACTTCTTATCTCTTTCCTTATCTCTAACTCCCCTCCTCTCCTTCCTTTTTTCCTTCACCAAGTGCAAGCGGCCGGCGCGGAGGCGGTGACGCGGGGGACGGCGCGGAGGCGGCCTGCGCGGCGGCGGCGGCGGGCGGCCGGCGCGGCGGCGCCGGGGGCCGCGCGGAGGCGGCGGCTGCGGTGGGCGGCCGCTCGGCAGCGTCCGGCGCAGCGCCGGCTGGCCGGCGCGGAGGGGAGGAGGGGAGGCGGCAGTGGCCGCCGGCCGGATTTTTTTTTCTTTTTTTTTTTGAGATGTGAATCTGTGATGTATTTTTATGTGAGATGTGAATCTGTGATGAATTTTTTAGAACCCTGTGATGTAATTTTTTTTAAGAGTTTGTGATGTATTTGGAGAAGATTTGTTTGAGAATTTGGAGATGTTCTGTAATATGTGATGATTTGGATATGGGAGGGGATGGTGTGAAATCAATATTCAATATTAAAAACAGAAAAAAAAAAGAAAAAATATCTTTAGTCCCGGTTGGTGATGCTCCATCTTTAGTCCCGGTTGGTAACACCAACCGGGACTAAAAATTGATTTTTAGTCCCGGTTATTTGAACCGGGACTAAATATAGCGATCTTTTGTCCCGGATTCGTAGTCCCGGTTGGAAAACCGGGACTACAGGGGGTTACGAACCGGGACTAAAAAGCATTTCTCCACCAGTGAGTTTTTGGTCATATGACCAAATTAAATTCTATAAAGTTCCGAAAACAATTAAATACTCCTATAGAATTAATACTTCCAATCAAATGTGGAATTAACGGCAAGCATGTTGGGTTCTTATAGGAATCCACCACTCATTTCTGTTCTTCTATTGTGGTTTCAATATTTTTGTAACGCAGAATTGAGCTCTTATACATATCTAATTGCGTAACGCTTTCGATGATGCTTGCTATGCCGACTTTAACGAACATATTGTTCACTTGTTCAGCGTTTTCCATTCCTTAATGATTATTTAGGTTTGTAGAGCAACTAGCTGAATTAAATCCCTAGATGTTATTGAATTGTTGCTTTGTTGCTGATAAGTTATTAATTACGGACAAGCTAATACATCAATTGTTTTGGAGAGCTTTAGCTATGGACTATGGTGCCTATGCATGTATACTTTCTTTTAGATAAGAGAAGTCAGGGCTATATCCTTTGTGCTATAAACTGTAACTGTCTATAATTCTAACCAGAATTACGCAAAATTCGTATGAATGGCCTATAAGAGTGCTTTAGGTGGCGCACCAGAACATCGTTCGATTCAAGGGCATGTTCTAAAACCAGCTTTTCGATCTAGTTCTTGTAGATTGTGATGTTGATAGTTTCTAGATTATCACATCGTGGTCCGTTGGTACGATTGATCGGATTCTTCATGTCCTTCGAGAAAAAAATACCTTAGAAATAACGACGTCAAACGAAGTTTGTACTTCATTAAGGTACTTGATACGACACATTCTGAAATTTGCAATGACTTTCCCACTCGATGTCACCGTACTAGGTAAAATTGGGGACCAATCAATCCGTGCTAACTTAGGTACAAGTAGGGGTGTAATGGGCCTAACTTTTTAATCTATAAAATTCAAAGGGTTAATCTAAAAAGCGTGGTTTGAAATTTTAAACTTTCGAGGTAAAAGTATTTAAGGGATGAGTTGGTTTGTGAACATCCCATAAATTCTAACCCATTACCACCTCTAGGTACAAGTTTGAAATTGGAGTTTAAGCAAACCTAAGCATGTAGGGATACAAGCGGTCTACTCTGTCCTTTATCTGTGCAAATTAAATCCCATTTTTCGCGTGCGGCTGAAAATCTCAACCACACGTGAGAAACAAACGCACCCGAAGGGACGTACTCCGGATATGCACACCTAGCCTGGCATCCTGACCCATATAGACTCCGTTGGCCTATTTGAACTTCTTACAAGCGAGATGATGTTTATCTCGTTCTAGGTTCCAACCAAGCCGAATATTTGCAGGGGTGCAAAACAACTCGAGGGTGGCCTAGCCCATCCAATCGCTGCGGCGGCTGCCTGAGCGCATTGGCATCACATCCATCTCTATCTTCGACCGGTGCACCGGTCTAGCCGAGTGGTGGAGTGCCCACACCGCCCAGTAGCTCCACCTCGCTTGTCCCCACTGCACCACCCATTGACGGCGCACCGCTCGGCTGGCAGCTGCCCACCCTCACGGCCTCACCGACTCCGTCGACGAAAGGAAGACACGCTAGCTAACTCGCGCCCTTAGGCC